GTATTAAGTACGTTCCGTGACACAGTATTTTCATGTTAAATTCCTTACATTACATTTACTATAAGTGGTATTAAGTACGTTCCGTGACACAGTATTTTCATGTTAAATTCCTTACACTACATTTACTATAAGTGGTATTAAGTACGTTCCGTGACACAGTATTTTCATGTTAAATTCCTTACATTACATTTACTATAAGTGGTATTAAGCACGTTCCGTGACACAGTATTTTCATCTTAAGTTCCTTACTTCAACTTACTTGAACACTTATCATGGCAACATGGCGGAATTTTCCAAAGTCGCCTTCGTTAACAGGAAGTCGAAGAAAATAGTATTTACTGTCTGCAGTAAAAACAGGGTGTTCATACATTTCCACCCAACCAGTGGTGCTAGTCTCTTCCAAATTCTGCAAATATGAAAGTTTCTCATTTACAAAAGATGGGAAATAAAAGGAATGTTCTATACAAAAAATAGAATAAAATAATAATAATAATAATAATTACCATTGCTGATGATAAACCATTCCAACCTTTCTACTTCAATTAAGAAGTGGACAATTTCGTTTCAGAAACATTGTGCTACCATTATCAAGGGTAAAAAAAGATCGAATTTTTTGCACAATGAAAGATAAACTCTTTATTCAGACGACTAGTTTCAGTAACACAGTTACCATTATCAAGGCTATTGAATACAGTGTTCATTGTACATTATTTCTTAATGTATTGGCTCTGTTTTAATGTCTTGGTTCTAAATAGTGCATCCAATATTCGTTTTGTCTTCATGTCTTGATTCTAAATAGTACCTCTACGCTTATTTTTGTCTTAATGTCTTGGTTCTAAATAGTACCTCCAGGCTTCGTTCCGTCTTAATATCTTGGTTCTAAATAGTAGTTCTAGGCTTCGTTCTGTCTTAATGTCTTGGTTCTAAATAGTACCTCCATGCTTCGTTCTGTCTTAATATCTTGGTTCTAAATAGTAGTTCTAGGCTTCGTTCTGTCTTAATGTCTTGATTCTAAATGGTGTCTTGAAACTGTATTGTCTTAATGATTTCGAAATGATCTATAATTACCTCTTATAAATTATCATCAAATTATCAGCCCCTCAGTGGCACAGCGGTATATCTGCGGACTTACAACGCTAGAAACCGGGTTTTGATACCCGTAGTGGGCAGAGCACATATAGCCCATTGTGTAGCTTTGTGCTTAATTACAAACAAACAGACATCAGATTATCATTAGCAGCTTGAAACTGTACTTATCAATTCACTAATGAAATACCAATGAGCTAATAGAGTGTTAAAGACATAAAACAAAAATTATGTCCGATACCCACCGTTTCACACGCCCATCCGCTCCATTCGTGGCAAATACTGACGATAGAAAAGTTTTGGGATCTCCGTAGCCAGACGGCTGTTAGTCGGCTTCTATCAATCCACTTAACTTGGGTAAAATAGTGTTCTCTGTATAAAGCAAAACATGTTAATTAGCGGAAACCTGGTGTTGTACGACATCTTTCCTGCTCTGTATAAATTACTTGTAAAAATGAAAGTACGATTTTTTTTCTCTCTCTCTTTTTTTGCACTTTTAATTCAGGCTATAATAAAAGGTCAGTAATATCGTTAATATCAAGGTACCCAGCTAGTGATTCAATATATTCCAATCTTTACAGATTTTAGTTTTCTTGTGTACTGATTTATGACTAACATCTTCTAGTCAATGTGTCTTACAGAATTGACCTCAATAACTTACATGCAAGTTTATTAGTTCTGATCTATATAGTGATCAATTCTTAATATTACCTAAAGACAATTAATTTTGCTTAGTTTTAAACGTGTGCGGTAGTCGAATACAAATAAGTTCGAGAAGCACGTGAGAATTACTCCACGTTCCCAGAGTTATGATACTACAATTTCAACAGTACTTCTTTTTGTCGCTTCAAAATTTCTGTGACACAATTCCGGTGTTTCAAAATTGTGTACTGTCATATCGCTATATACGAGATAACTGACAAGACACTGAATGAACTTAAAACGGTCGTTTTTATCTGAAACTTATACAATCCTGACTTTACTATTACCAGTGAATTATTCTCTCATCTATTTACCCTTCCAAAACCGCTGTGTTGTATGTGTCCCAGCGAATGTTTGTGCAGGACTGATGAGGCCCATGTATACCCCATAAATATATTTTGAAAATGTTTGTTTGTTGTTAAGCACAAAGCTACAAAATAGCTATTAGTACTGTGCCAAACCACGGGTATCGAAATCCGATTTTTAGAGTTATAATTCCACTTGTCTCTGAGCCACTAAAAAATAACTCTCCGGTAATAACTTGTAACATTAACGGGCATGTTACTAAGTACAAACGATATCACTGACATCGTCTGTACTTATTAACATGACCGTTTTAGAACCCATTCAATAACGGTGAAGTGTGACATCGTCTGTACTTAGTAACATGACCGTTTTAGAACCCATTCAATAACGGTGAAGTGTGACATCGTCTGTACTTAGTAACATGACCGTTTTAGAACCCATTCAATAACGGTGAAGTGTGACATCGTCTGTACTTAGTAACATGACCGTTTTAGAACCCATTCAATAACGGTGAAGTCACTTCACCGTAATTGAATGGGTTCTAAAACGGTCATGTTACTAAGTACAGACGATGTCGCACTTCACTGTTATTGAATGGGTTCTAAAACGGTCATGTTACTAAGTACAGACGATGTCACACTTCACCGTTATTGAATGGGTTCTAAAACAGTCATGTTACTAAGTACAGATGATGTCACACTTCACCGTTATTGAATGGGTTCTTAAACAGTCATGTTACTAAGTACAGATGATGTCACACTTCACCGTTATTGAATGGGTTCTAAAACGGTCATGTTACTAAGTACAGACGATGTCACACTTCACCGTTATTGAATGGGTTCTAAAACAGTCATGTTACTAAGTACAGACGATGTCACACTTCACCGTTATTGAATGATTTCTGAAACTGTCATGTTACTAAGTACAAAAGGATTAGAGAAATTTTATAACTGTCCTTTTTTCTGACCAGAATTCTGATAAAATATTTTAGTAACTTAGTGAATCAAGACATGATTTCTATGTAGTTGAAGGAAATGGGGAAAAAATTAGCACAGCTCCAAGATGGAGGCGGCACTGACGTTGATCCAACATAAGTATAAAAGCCGTAGAGGACCCTCTCTCTAAAAGTATCTCATTCATCAAGTAATGAGGTTTATTTAACTTGCTATGTGTGAATAACATTGCAGCATGGAAGCAACATGAATATAAGCAGCAAAGAATAACGAGTAAATTCAAGAAATCGGCAGAAGTTGGACTGGAACGTTTCATTACTTGACGAATGCAAATGTTACCAAATATTTAGTTAGTTCAAGCTTGTTGAGTGATTCACTATTCGACTTTAGACGTTAGCCAATATTTGGGTAGTTCAAACTAATTAATAAGTAATTTTTATCCTATGTTACGGCTACTAATCTGCTTTTGTTTTCAGGAAGTCACGAGAAGGACTTTTTATATATGGAAAGTAGTTGGGATTCGATCCTGGGTCCTCTTGATGGAAAGGTACTTCCCTTACCCCATTAGACCCTGAATCAATTAATTATTTGAATATTTCCAAGGGGGGAGGGTATTTGTGTTTTCTCAGTTTCAGTGGATGTAGAAAGCGTCTTTTCTCTTTCTTTTTCTCTTGTGTTTCCTATCCTATTATTTATTCCAGTTTATCGTATGATCTTCTTTTCGGGCATGATGGGCTATTACAGAGAACTGTATGTCTGTTATGTTTTGAATTCTAACCTTTGGATTCTTCAGTTTATTAAAATCCACATTTTCAAGCGTTGATGTAAATGATGTATTTCCTCTCCATTGGGTCTTTACGTAGTTTGATGTGTACTAGCTAATTAAAAATAGGCTTAGGTCATTATGACAACATCTGTTAAAAGATTCGATTGTAGATCTTATGTTTTGGTTTAAACTACACACCTGATTTTGAGGAAAGTGGAACAAAGTCATCTTCAGTTAACTTGTTTTTATAACAACTTCTAAACCTAAATTTACAACTATTGTTATACTTTACTTTCAATCGTAAGTTCGTAGAATAAGTGCGAGTTTCTTACGCAGAAACGTGGACGTACATTTTAAAATGAACTATACAATGGATTCCATTACTAAATCTAACTACAAATTTAAATAACCTCAAACTCTGTCTTTTATGTGTGAAATGTACATCGAGCTACAATAAATAAATTTTTCGATAAAACTAAAGAAATAACGAGATTCGGTCGCTTAAAATCCATTCAGGACGATTTGAAAATTATACTTTATTTATAGACAGTTGTTTACCTTTCTTGTATTTCTTTTGGAGGACGAAGTCTTCTGGGAGCGGGGATACTTGACGTAAAAGTGACGTCAACAACCCATAACGTGGCTAACGGGTTTTCCGTACCTGGCTGTAAGAAGTAGGTAGCATTAAAGTGGTAAAAAGCGTGTTTTGGTAGCCTAGGTTTTACTACTTGACACTAATAGTATATGTGAGTACTCATAAGTGCTTTAATTCTATGTAAAATAACGGGATGAGATTTACTTGGCTTCAAGAAAAACATTTGCTTAAGATTACTTGCCGATGGAACAGAAATGTTGCTAAACAGAATTATTCTTATCATGAGACATTAATATTAGGCCTATGCATTATGACAAGTATAATTAATTACAATCATGCTTCGCCAGCTTGGAAAGATGTCCATACCAAAACACTTGTTGTTAAAGTGTTTCTAGTAATTGGCTGTAAGGACATAAATAACATTGCTTTAAATTTATACGCACTAATTGATTTACTAAAATATTTTCTGTAACTTGCTACTGTTTGTCAGAATACGAAACAAGATATTCAAGGATATGACGTAACCTTTCGAAGACGCCTTGCAAGATTTTAGAATTACTTAGCATCAATATAATAATATATTCAGGACAAAACTGACCAATAATCTAGTTCCTTTAACTTGCATACACAACTCTTGTAAAATGTCATGGTTAGAGCATTCAAAATGATGCTTTCGGAGATCAAAAACAAATATTTACCGATTGACCGAATAGAATTCCCATTTATAATTTGTATTCGTTACGAACTTCTGTAGTTCAACAACAAGTCACTTCTTATACGTGACTTATAACTGACGAAAATGTTTTATATCAATAGGAACTGAGCCATAAAGAAGATCTTAATTACCTGTGTAAGACTGTTTTTTACTGGCTGGAAGAAAATGGCTATATTAACACATTGTTTACCTTTGAAATAAATAAAGTTCGATAAGATAAAATAGGATTACATACTAAAGTTGTAATGGTTTTTAAACGAGACCCAAAACTCGAGCGCTTTCGGATAGTTCACTATTCTTCTTCTGGGAAATACTTAACTATAACGTTTGAGCATCAAACGAAATAAAAGTAGAGGGAGCCACCAAGAGTTGTGTTGTATTGGTACTTTAGTTTGTTGTTCTTTAGTCAGTAGGTTAAAGTCAAGGTTATTCAGGTTCACTTACTTCTATTTTTAATATGCTGTTATTCAGCTAGACTACCTGAATTATTAACCCCGAGGTTAATCAACTCTGTTGTTCAACTAGACTACCTGCATTATTAACCCCGAGGTTAATCAACTCTGTTGTTCAACTAGACTACCTGCATTATTAACCCCGAGGTTAATCAACTCTGTTGTTCAACTAGACTACCTGCATTATTAACCCCGAGGTTAATCAACTCTGTTGTTCAGCTAGTGTAGCTAGATTATTAACCGCAATATTTATCATCTTGAATATTCGTCCAGAAAAACTCGGTGTTAATAAACGAACGCCCTCAATAATCTACTTTTGTTACATGGCGCGTTCAAGTATTTTGAAAGAATGGCAGTGAAGCACTGCTTTCCACATACAACATTGGAATCACAAACTGTGTCAGCAACAACGTTCAGCACTACGGTTAATATTTTCTACAACGATAAAAAAACAGTATTAAGTGACTCTGTAATCATGCTTTATAGAGGTCGCTGAAGTCTCTAATACTTGTACAGATAACAAACTACCGATAATATAAATGTTCTCAATAAAAACAAGTTACCTTAGGATATCTGATTTTCACTAGACCCTGATGAATGTTATTTTCATCCATATAATCTCCATACCAGGGATACTGAACTTCAGGCACGCGACTATCATCAAAGGATGCAAAACACAGCCTGGTACCATCTTCTGACCACCAGATGGAGTTGGTATTGCCCAGTATTTCCTCTGAAATAACGTGTATAATCCATACGTTTAAAAATTAGTTATTAACGTATGGAAAGTTCTTACTTTATTAGAGTCTTTTTTGTTATCATTATAACACTGGTTTTAAATAGCCTCAACTTACATTTACATAATTTATTCAAGCACGTGAAAACAGGATTTAAACAAATTAACAGAATCACCAATTTAGGCCTTCAGAATAAAACTCGATTTTCACAACTTTCATCTCAGAAGTAAATGAATGTCATTTTATACCCTTGTACAGTAATAAAAATAATCGTTGTCATGGTTACTTGCTTTAACTGTTATCTGAGACTAATTATTAATTAGTAACTATTGTTTTTTACATTTTATTAAATTTCGTAAATTTTATAAACATTTTTATTTATACACCTAGATACTAATTAGTTTTTGGTCTTTTTTTTCGGCTGCTAATCTGCTGCCATCTTCAGGGAAATCCTGAGAAGGAATATTTCTGTGTTGTTAGTGCACGAAAGAATTTTGAAATATAAGAAAAAGTTCCAAATACCTTCATAAACCCAGTCCGGAATACCGTTAAAAATCACTCTATCCACCCCACTCCTGGTTATACGTTTTGGAGGGATATCTCCTACATAGGCCATATAAAAAATGTCGTTGTTTCTTACATAAACCTGAGGAAAATCATAAAAAAAATCAAAATATGTTAATCAATAAGCAATCAATGGCACTGGTGCGTAGTATATAAACTAAATTTGGTTGAGTTAATGACCATGTCTTAAATATCGTTATTTAGTGTTTTAACTATAAACACAGAACGAAATGTGATAAAACGTAAAAAAAAAAGGATAAATCAGCAACCAATGTTGTCTAACGAAATTTGAAAACTGGCTTGATAAATAACTAAATTTATTTTAAAAAAAAAACTAAACTAGAACCACTCACCAGCTGACTACCAGTGGGCCCCCATTCAACGTATTGTAGTTCAGCATTATCTTCAGTTGGTAATAGTGGCGAGGTTTGGCTAGAAGATCAAATTTATTAGCTTAAAAGTTTACTGTTTTGTTCCATCACCAGCTACATGACTAACGTTATGCTACTGAATTTTCTATTATAACCAAAATGCTGAAGTAAAATGATAAATTCTGGTCATGAAAACCTAAAAAACAGCAACGCATAAATGTACACTAATTAAATACTAAAGAACAAAATACAACATTTCAATAAATTATTTATATGTTTGTTTTAGCATGAAATTAAACAATAGGCCATCTGTGCTCTGTCCACCACGGGGATCGAGCCTCAGGTTTTAGTGTTGTAAGTCCGTAATCTTACCGCTGCCTCATCGGGGAACTACCAACTGTTTCCAAACTCTTTGGAAACTAATGGAAAAAATAGTTTCGAATACTAGCAGACACAGCAATAAAACACCGTCATAAGTTCCTTGTGTGAGGAATTCCTTTATTTTGTCCTGAAACAATAAATTCCATTTGAACTTTAATCTATATGTTTTAACTGTTACGTTTAAAGCGAAACATTTAAGAGACTTATCACAAGCTCCGCACGTTCCAACCTGAAGAAATATAACACAAAGTACCCTAATTAACTTATCCCGGGGAATAAATAGTTTCATATAAGTAAAATATTAATAGTTATAGTGTTATTAAAGTAAAACACAACGTCAAAATGTGAGACACGTAAAGTACTCACTGAAAATAGGTTTTCCCCAAGGTCCTATATTATATCCTTTCGTAATCTTCTAAACAATATCCTGGAGATTATCTAATAAATTGATATCCTGAATATCCTCTCGGAATATTCTAAACAATATCCTGGAGATTATCGAATAGCATATCAATTTATTAGATAATCTCCAGGATATTGTTTAGAATATTCCGAGAGGATATTCAGGATATCAATATTCCGAGAGGATATTCAGGATTCTAAACAATATCCTGGAGATTATCTAATAAATTGATATCCTGAATATCCTCTCGGAATATTCTAAACAATATCCTGGAGATTACCTAATAAAATATCAATTTATTAGATAATCTCCAGGATATTGTTTAGAATATTCCGAGAGGATATTCAGGATATCAACCTGGACAGAGCGCAAATAGAGCTAAATACCACCACCAACAACAAATTTTCAATGTCATAATTTATTCACTTGAAATACATTTTAAGATTGGTTTGGAGGTGCAGGGTTTATCGTCTGTTGCAAATTCGTATTCTTTTGAGACAAGACATTCTGTGATACAAGAATCGTAAGAGTAGATTGCCGAATTCGTGCTCTGGCAAAAATTACAGAAATTGCTCTAAGAAATATATATTTAGACGATGAGAACCTTCTTGTTACTCAACACCTCGTTCTAGTTTTTCTTATAAAAAGAATAGCGAAAGAACACGATCGAAATTTAATATTCCAGAAACTTACGTAAGTGTTAATAATGTCTGTAATAAACTGTACTTACTAGTTTTGGATGTCAAAGTACTTGTATTTCGCTGTATACGAATATCGAAATCTCTGAAAAGAGGAAACATATTAACAGAATACTTATAACAATTATAAAATGGTTGAGTCTCTAGTTCTTTCGATAGATGGCTCTTCTTCAGAAGCAGACGTTAAAAAAGGACACCTGTCAAAAACGCTAGAGTTTTTTAAGGCTCAACCTTTTTTCTGATCCTATTTATTTGTGCTCAAACAAATTGCTAATAAAATACTTTAATTTTTGTTCGAACTATATACATTTTAACAGAAAGTACAGTTACAACTGGAAACATAACTTATATACATTTTAACAAAAAGTACAGTCTACAACTGGAAACATAACTTATATACATTTTAACAAAAAGTACAGTCTACAACTGGAAACATAACTTATATACATTATAACAACAAGTACAGTCGATAACTGGAAACATAACTTATATTATTTTAAAAAAAACTGATGTCAAAGTGAAAAAAGAAATTACACGTTTTGGTTATGCAAACTACATCGTTTTGCGTTATACACATTTTAGGGTTAACATCATATGGATGGGGTTGTATAATTACATCATTGTGTGTTAGTCAGTAAAGAAAATGCAATCCGTTTGGTAATTGGTCGTTTTTTGTTTGTTTTTTAGCCCACCATATGATATTGATACAACATCATACATGTTATACCACGATGCTGGGCTGAGACGAAACATAGTCGACTGTATAAAAAAAAAGGATTAAATTAATCTGATATTAATTGATACAGTAACGTACACGAGAAATACATATAAACCAGAAGAGGCACGCCCACATTGAATGTGTACAGTAATTGCACGTGCTGACCTACCTTCCTGAATTGTATAAATAAAACTGGACAGATCATTCTCATAATATAAGGACCACGATGTATCGCAAATTTCCGGTACAAACGCTTTCAGGAATACTGATGAAGGTACATAAAATAAGGAGGGACATACTTATGTAATATCAGGGATACTGATGAAGGTATATAAAATAAGAAGGGACATACTCATGTAATATCAGGGATACTGATGAAGGTACATAAAATAAGAAGGGACATACTCATGTAATATCAGGGATACTGATGAAGGTATATAAAATAAGAAGGGACATACTCATGTAATATCAGGGATACTGATGAAGGTACATAAAATAAGAAGGGACATACTCATGTAATATCAGGGATACTGATGAAGGTATATAAAATAAGAAGGGACATACTCATGTAATATCAGGGATACTGATGAAGGTACATAAAATAAGAAGGGACATACTCATGTAATCTTTTAATTACTTTACCAATAAGAAGGGACATAAAATAAGAAGGGACATACAGGGACATACTCATGTAATCTTTTAATTACTTTACATTTAAGTCGCAAGCTCTCTCTCGGATCGTTATGGAGTCTTCTGAAAAGTACGTAGGGTTTGAGAGGGCACTTTGTTATATTTTGAGTTTTGTACTTTATTTACCAAAGATGTTCGCTATTGGCACTCTGATAAGTTATTCTGGACTCTTCGGAGAAGAATGTTATGTTATAAGTTTTGTACTTTACTTACCAAAGATGTTCTCTAATGGCACTTTGATAAGTTATTCTGGACTCTTCTGAAAAGAATGTTATGTTCTACGTTTTGTACTTTACTTACCAAAGATGTTCTTAATGGTATTTATATAAGTTATTCTTCCGAGAAGAGCACAAGGATTGACTATGTTGTGTCAAATATGTTTTTTTTTACTTATCACATATATGTTATTCTTGGCAGTTTACGACGCTATTACTGACTTTATTGGGCATTAAAAAAGTATTTTAGTGACATGTGTAAAGACTGAAGTTAGTAGTCTGTAAAAACAAACAAAATTTGTAACAGCAATTAAAGAGCGAAGGAAAAATCCCAAATAAACTAAGAACAAAAATCAATAGCATCTACAGTTAGAATAGAACCGCAAGTTAGTGATATCACGGTCTCTACGAATGCATTATTCCAAATAAACTTCATCTCCTAGAAAAGAGATTCTTTTTTATATTACTATCAAACGTATAACTCACCTTTTTAATAGCATAAGAAAGCAATACGTATTTTCTGTCGGCTGACAAACTATATTTGTAAACATCGTAGAGCCTCTGTCAAAACAAAAAACATGTTCATTATTTCTTATAAAGTTTAACCTAAATACACTTCTTATGGACTAGACGTAATAATAAATTTACATATGTTGTTGATGTTTCCATGATATCCAATACTAAAGGAAGCAAATTTACTAACAACACCATCAGTTTCCATGATGCCCAATCTTGCAAGAAGCAAAAATTACCAACACCACCATCAGTATCCATGATGCTCAATCTTGCAAGAAGCAAAAAATTACCAACACCACCAATAGTTTCCAAATGCTGAAAGAACAAGTTTTCCAACATGTGCAGTAATTCAGCTACTGAACCAAATGGTCCCTTTTTGTCCATAATGTGATCTCTTCATTTTGCTGGGTTATCTAGCACTCCTCTTAAAATCCACTGATCTCGTGTCCTTGAACTGCTGATGCTATCTCGCTGGTATCTTGTTGGAGAACACCACATAGGAAGTCCAAGTACCACAGAATGGTCCAGGTACCACAGGATGGTCTGTGCTTTTGGCTGAACGGTTCCCGTTTTGATGCTGCTTGTTGACGAAATCTTGTGTCTTAGTTTAGAACAAAACTGACGAAAACAACTAAAACTTGACCAAGTCTTTATTATACTTGCCTTAAAATTAGTATACTTTAAAGAATTACTATTGCTACTGGTACTTGAGGGTCATAGTTCTAGTCTAAAATCTTCAGAATTAAAGCAATGATCTTGCAACAATGTTAGCTGCATTCTCAAAAACAGAACAAACTTAGAAAGCATCACGACATCAAGAAGGCTTTTGCTTGAGAACTGTGCAGACATAGAAATTACATTGTGAGAACTAAATCCCAAATTACAAAGTAACGGCTACTGAGTACCCAATAAACGTGTACAGCATGTGGGCTGCAAACCAAACAGTTAAACGAAAATGTAATACAATAGTTATTTAAGTATTCAAATTAAGCCATGCCAAATAATAATATCTCTTTTTTTTGTGGGGGGGGGGGTATTTAGACTATACTCAATAATAAGTCTCTTTTTCGGGTTGGTTAAGCTATATCCAATAATACCTCTCTTTTCTTGGAGTAGTTAAACTATACCCAATAATTATGTTGTTGTTGTTGTTTGGGGGAGTGGGAGGTAGCTATATGCAATAATGTCTATGTTTTTGTTTAGTTAAGCTATACATGTACTTTACTAACCCCCATTTCTTTGATATTTTAGTTTAGAAATGAACAGGCTTACTTCTTTTTGTATTACAGATATTAATACAATATCAAATAAGCAGGTCGTAGTCGAATCAAATCAATCGTTACAAAGTAGTTTTATCTTAGCGTCGATTACAGTTATTCGTGAAATAACCTGACTTGCGTTTTAGAAACTAACAATATATGTTTATTATAGTTTCAAAATCATGAAAAGTAAACAACTGTATTAGGATAAACTCTGTTATTCTAAGTAAATCCACGTTAACTTGATAATGGTACGTTCACGTGATAGATTGAACTATTGTTATATGAAAAGGCTATCTTATATATACGTTTATACTGCTTAAGGCCACATCACGAAATAACAGCAAATATTCTGGCAAAAGGAACTTCATATAAAGGTTGAGCCAGTATAACTGACATACTGTATTCCTTAGAGAAGCTTGAATTCACCAAGTTCGGTGACTTTTTTACCCTCAACACTCTTTTGTTACCCTGTAATGTCTGAATACTGATTTGCTACTTTACAGTGTCTTAACAGAGTGAATTGTTACTTTATATTGTCCCGGTATTAAAAATAAATGCACAAGTAATTAAAAAGTACAGAGTGAACTAAAATTTAGTCCTAGAATCACACACTAGGGTACGTATCACCCCTAGAATCACAAAGTAGAGTCCGTATCAGCCCAACAATCACAAAGTATGGTCAGTATCAACCATAGAGTCACTAAATATGGTCCGTGTCACTCCTAGAAACACAAAATAGGGTCCGTTTCACCTCTAGAATCACAAAGTAGGGTCCATATCACCCTACCTGTTTATGAAGCACCAACCTGCTTGTTGTTCCATGATTTTATTAGTTGCAGTCACACAAAAAATAACTTTGTAATTAATCGTACCAATTACTAGTTTTAACCTCTGTATAGTTTACATAAAAAGTTAGTTATTTCACACAATTATTTTGGTCAGTTCTTTACTCAAGATAAAGCAGTAAGAAGACCCCACCTGCTATAGAACAAGTTCATAACTTAAGGGTTAACTGTTTGTGGTCACTGGTAAGTTTTGTTAAATATGAAAAGGCTAAACCATATGAAAACGTTATATACTCATGCATTTTATAGTTTTACATTCAATCCTATAGACAATGAAACGTATAACAAAATATCAGAACCCAAAAAATAAGTTATACAGTACAATGTTATTCATAAAGAGGTTTTAAGATTGGTTGACGGGTGTTAAATAATTCAAGTATCGCAAAACTACATCTCAAATTGGATAAGAAAACTTTGGAAATATAGACTATAGAACATGGAAACGAAGTTTCAACAAACTAATAACTGCTGAAGAGAGCCCCGATAACTAAATAAGAGGTTCAGTACATGAATTATATTAAAATAATTTTGGATACTCGTCACGTAGTTACAGTCCATGATGCCGAGTACAGTCATACTCTATCGGTTGTTTGTGTTCTAGAAACTAGCTCTGTAGTGTAGGTGCAAAAACCTCCGTCATAAGGTTTACATGTCCAAAGCATACCACTCCACACCGAATGCTTTCTATCTAGCGTACGAGGACGAAGATTTTCCAGCTCCTGTTTCAATAGTTCAAACGCAGAGAAATCCAAAGGTGCTGCGTACGACGAGTTGATTGGTTTGTCTTTGTTGAGAATAACCCGTATCATACTCCAACTCCTGGAGGTATGTATGGTTACACACACATATGTCTGGGAAACAACCTTTATACTTGTGATTTGTGTCGCTTCTCCAAACAAAACCTTCTTAACGATGTTGCATACTGTTAATTTAGACACGTGGACGGCTTTTATCCCTTTACTTTGCATTCATGGATTGTTACCCGTTACAAGACGTCCCACTTTACTTACTAGGGCTGGAGTAAGACTTCTTGCAGGCCTCTTTCTGGAGGGTACTGGTGCTCCATGTTGATCCTTATTCCTTTGTATTTCAATGTAATTAAGTACAATTGATATATCCGTTTTGCAGAATCTAAGTCTCCGATCTGAGCCCATCTTTTGGGATTGAAAAAGCTGTTACATACCCTTCCCCAAAGTGATCAATTATCTATGTCATCACACTACGTACGTCACGCCAAACAATGTCAACATGTAATCCTGATACATTCTGTTCTATCGTAACTGAATATCATGAGACTTCGTGATTTGCGTATTCAAAACCGTTTTAATATAACTTATTCAACTCTCCCTCTGTATGCATTACTAAAGCGGCACAGTAATTTAAAAAGTCCAGATAAAATATTACTTACAAAAGTTGTATTTAACAAGAGGACTGTTTTATTTAACGTTTCTGCGTTGAATAAAATAAGGGTTCCATCAGAATCTCGGTAAATAAATTCTTTTTCTGGAAATAGAAAAAAAAAACAGTTAGATTGCTGTGAATATAAACTAGTGAATAATTTCCTTTTTATTTCATGTAAGTCGCCTCTACTTATATTTTAATCTCACTATCAGGTTGTGTAATTGACACGTTTATATCACGTGGCTAAGCACGAATAAAGTCTGTTACAGTTTCTAACTTCTTCATCCCATCGATTAAATGAAGCGTGTCTTGAATTAGGTAAATTTATTCGGTAAGTCGATAACAAAATTCTATATTTATATTTTGATAGTTAAATTTAATACTATCATCGATTTAAAAGAAACTAAAACCTAATTTTCAAACAACAGAAGTAACAATGAAAAGTGCGATTAAAGAAACTGTTAATTTAGTTCAGATTTCTGATATTAACACTAATTGTTTAATTGTGATCGAAGAAACTGAATAGTTTGTTATTAAGCACAATGGGCTGTTTTTCTGTGCCCACTATAAGTATCTAAACCCAATTTTTATCGTTATAAGCCCTCAGACTTACCGCTGAGCCATACGGTTACAGTAACCTATACGATCACCAAGTGTAATTAATAATTTATAACTATTTCTTTCAGTTAGCGATTGGCGCAGATAGCCTTATTGCTTTGCGCCATAAAACTTTAACAGTTAGTGTTTAATTACAAAACTCTAACAGTTTGTATTTAGTTATAAAACTCTAACAGATAGTATTTAATTATAAAACTCTAACAGATAGTATTTAATTATAAAACTCTAACAGTTAGTATTTAATTATAAAACTCTAACAGATAGTATTTAGTTATAAAACTCTAACATATAGTATTTAATTATAAAACTCTAACAGTTAGTATTTAATTATAAAACTCTATTACTAACTGTTAGAGTTTTATAATTAAATACTATCTGTTTGATCATATTTTTTAAATTATAAAAGAAATAGTTACTAGTTAATAATTAAACTTAAGTCACTGTATGGGTGCTAACAAAGTCAAGTTACCAAATTATACCAGTGATAACGACTAGTTGTCTGTCAAAAACGTTAAGGTTTTATCGTTTATTTTTTAATGTGAATTAACTATCTTCAATATTGATACTTGATAATTTTCTTTTGATCCTTTCTCTACTTAGTACAGAATTAGCTACGAATGGAAACAAGAACAATTATAATATGATTTATCTAAAAGTTCGCGCTCTTTTTAACCAATTTGCCCTCATACCGGTAAAAACCGGCTTTCGACATTCGGGATGGGCATAGCACAGATAGCCCATTGTGTAGCTTTGTACTTAACAAGAAACAAAACAAACAAATATAATAACCGATTATATCGATCTATTTATATAATATTGTCTCCTGATTAATCTGTCGGGGAGAGGGGGAGATATACTAACCGATTATACCGATCTATTTATATAATTTTGTCTGCTGATTAATCTGTCGAGGGGGGAATATACTAACCGATTATATCGATCTATTTATATAATTTTGTCTGCTGATTAATCTATCAGGGGGGGAGATATACTAACCGATTATATCGATTTATTTATATAATTTTGTCTGCTGATTAATCTCTCGGGGGGAGATATGCTAACCGATTATATCGATCTATTTATATAATTTTGTTTGCTGATTAATCTGTCGGGGGGGGGGGCGAAACCAAGAGTATCCAAGAGTTTGCGGCGGGTACTACTGATTATCTGCCTTTCCTTTAGACTGTCAGTTCAAAATAGCCATCATGGAACTTTCGTTCTAAAACAAACTATTAATCTGTCGTGTTTATGAGTCTGAAGCAAGAATTCTTATATTCATCTATTGACTAACTACTTGACTAATTACTACTCTAAATTCATCGATCGATACTCACCATCCAACCTTTATGCCTCCCATCGTACTGTCAGAAAGCAGACACGTCACGACTTACAGAATCTAAACAGTCATTAAACATTCTTCAAAGGAACCAATGCATGACCTAATAACGTTAGTTTGTGTTGTCAACAAAATCATGAGAAGTTATTTAGCAGCTTCAACGTCAGTCATTATTACACCAATCGGTTAACCTCTAATAGCTGTGCGCTTTGTATGATTGGTCAAAAACGATAAATATATCCAAATGACACGTTTTACTGGTTGATGCGCTGTGACTAGTCGGCACTCGCCGTTGATGTTGGCGCGTATATTGTCTTTTTGTCATTCGATAGAATGGGAAGCAAGAAAAAAGCGACATCTGAAGCAAGTTTATAATTAAGAAATTTTCAAGTAATTTGCCTGTTTAGTATATATTTGTTTCTCTAAAGCCATGAAAGCAATGATTGTATATATATCGTCTTTTTTTTTAGTTTAGTAAACTATATTATAAATTCCATATGAGATCAAAAGCCATTGTTGTATGCGCATGCGCACATGAGTACCGGCACATTTTTGTTGAGAATTCAACCCTGAGCTTGACAATGTATATATGATAAACAAGCTCGTTTATGTGAGAAATATTCAGTGTACTGATCGTAAGATTATACAAATGTGTTGTATATATATATATATATTAATACTCATTTGTATAATAGGTAAATTTAATATATGTTAAGCATAGGCGATGGAACTGGTGGAACCAAGACCCCCCTTTTCCAGTACAAGCAGGAGAGTCAGCAGACATAATGATGCTTTATAATCCCATAAAGATTTTAAAATGAATGTTGTAGCTGGACTCGAAAAGATGAGATAAAAGTATTAAGGTAAAAACAAAAGGCCATGAAATTTGGTCGTTATAATGTTTATTTTTACACTGATTATTTTCCTATGTTTTTTCTTGATTTTCACCATACCTGGGCGCCCTCTACAACAAAATAAGCATATGTTACTATTGTAAAAGAAAATTTTCCAGATAAACGTTTCCCCTATTTTAATATATCTTCGATAGAGGCACTTCTAATAAGCTTGATTTTTCTTGTCAACTATGATCTCCTCCTCCCTCTACAACCCCTAAGTGGTTCAGCGGTAAATCTACTGGCTTACGACGTGAAAAATCGGGTTTCAATAGCCACTGAAAGCACAGCGCAAATAGCCCATTGTATAACTTTGTGCTTAACAATAAAAAACCATTAACTCTCCCTACATTGTGCTTTCGGCGCTATTTTTAAGTACATCAAACAATCTTATCCTTACCAGATATCCACGTTCCATTAAACCTTCTCGGTGTTAAACTACCATATACAACTTCCAGTAAGTTGAGCCGTGGATTCCTAACCTTGGGACCTTCGTTACCTGTTAGAGAAACAAACAAAATAATAATAATAATATGGAAGCAAAAGTGGTTACAGTCAATGCGAATGACATTACTGGGTCACTTATGGCCACAGACAATGTGAATGACATTACTGGGTCACTCGTGGTCACAGATAATGTGAATGACATTACTGGGTCACTCGTGGTCACAGACAATGTGAATGATATTATTGGAAGCTTCTATTGGATCATTCACTACAGAAAATGTCTTGTGATAATTTACTCTCATATTGGTCTTGCCTCGATAGCTTCAACGTCATCCATGATATAATTCGATATCTCGTAAAAACACGTTTTTGGTGAGTATTTTTTTTTCTTTTTGCATATGAAAAAGATGAAGAGAAACATGTTTGTATTGCTGACAAAATATAAAGCACAGTATATTAAGAATTATCAGGATAGAAATAGTAAATAGACGTGTCCAACCTAAATCAAAATGGAGACTTGTTATATGCTAAATAAATATATCGCGATTTTTAAAAGTATTACTCTTCTGGAGTACAAAAAAAAAAAGAATAAATGAACACAATCACGAATTTTTAAGATAAACAATAACTCAAATGGCTTTGAACATCGAATTAGAGGATGAAATGGGCTTACCTGGGCTGAGCAGGATAACAGCTGTTACAATAAGGGCACAAACTATGATAATAACAAGTAGGGCGATCCCAATTCCACGCCAGTTCCTCTCCTCCTGTCCCGAAGATACCAGTTCCTAGAGTAGAGTATATATATATATATACACATTATAAAAACCCTCTGTCAAAGTTTGCATACCATTTATGAGAAAATATATGTTTCATCATTGCAAGAAATACAGAATGTCTCACTTCTAACAGACATTCTTCAGTTCCATACACCCCTAAATGATATGTTAAATGTAACACACAAGCCTGTACTACAGTTACTTACACTTCTGACTAAGTAACTGTAGTACAGGCTTGTGTGTTACATTTAATACATCATTTAGGGGTGTATGGAACTGAAGAATGTCTGTTAGAAGTGATGGAAATAATTCTGGAAACACACATTTACGTAAGCCACAAACAACGAGTACTAGCAACTAAATGGTGAATTTATTAACGGTACAAAACATTATCAAATAAAATATAAAAGTAAAGAGAGTAATCTGTATGTGAATTGTATGATGTATCGAACTACAGAAACCTTTGATGTGTAAGTTAAAATATAGATTGACTTCAATTATAACAAAGGATGCAAGAACTCTAATTACAACAGCAAACACTGAACGTTGTCTAACACAAAACGTCTAATGTAGTCTAACATGAAACACGGAACGTACTGTAACATAAAACACCGTACGAAGTCTAACACGAAATATCGGAGATATTGTAACATAAAACATCGAACGTAGTATAACATGAAACCAACTTTTAAGATTGAGGGGAGTGATAAAGCAAAAACCCTCAGTAAATCCATACCCATGAGGACATTCTTAGTAAGTCCATACCTACAGAGACATTCTTACTAAATCTATGCCTACACAGAAACTCTCAGTAAGTTCCAAGCTTACACAGAAACTCTCAGTAAGTTCTAAGCTTACACAGAAACTCTCAGTAAGTTACAAGCTTACACAGAAACTCTCAGTAAGTTCTAAGCTTACACAGAAACTCTTAGTAAGTTCTAAGCTTACACAAGTTTATATCTAAACTGAAACACTCCATATGTACATACCTACACAGAAACTCTCAGTAAGTTACAAGCTTACACAGAAACTCTCAGTAAGTTTATATCTAAACTGAAACACTCCATATGTACATACCTACACAGAAACTCAGTAAGTCCATATCTACACAGAAACTCTCAATAAGTTTATATCTAAACTGAAACACTCCATATGTACATACCTACACAGAAACTCGGTAAGTCCATATCTACACAGAAACTC